TAAAGTAGAGACACTACACACTGATATACACCTGAACATCAGCAGGAGAGGACTCTTTAAAGTGTATCAGACCTTTGTTTGTCTACAGCAATAAAACACTACTTCATGCAACAATATTAAACGTCTAGTAATATCATACCTTAAGTAAAAAATATATGATAAACGTAATGAATTTCTCTGCTGAGTGAGTTTACTTTTGTTCATTTAAGTACATTTTGCTGATAATACTTCTTTACTTCTACTTGACTGATAATTTGAACGAGGAGGAGTTTTACTATAAGGGAGAATTGTTATAATAAATGATTGGTACTTGTACTTAAGTAAAGGATCTGAATACTTGGATGCCGGTCAGTGAAGCCTGCCTTTAACTTAATCAAGTCAACCCCAATAAGAGCCCATACATTGCGTGTTTACTATATACATGAATCTGCTGCTGGAGAGTGAGTCTGATCACCTGGATGACCCTGAGGGTAGAAGTGTTGTGGGGTGCAATTACTGTCAAACTGTAACCAGACAAGCGCCATCTGTGTTTAGGTAATATTAGGCTCAATTAGGCTCATGCTGCTTGAATGAGGTAATGAGTTGTGACAAGGAGCGCACTGTAACTCCAAAACACTCTGTTAGATTGAAGTGCTTTTTGGTACATTTCCTCACATTTTTTAACCTAATTTGAAATAATTTTCAACTCTCAACACTTAAGGTTGCCATATGCTTAATTTTGAGGTAAAATGAGCGAAGGGTGATCTAATTGTGTTTGCTTTGGGTAACTGTTGGACTGTAGGACCTTTTTTTGCAAACAGTCACAAAAAGTCTAACATGAAACATTTAAAATCATCACCAAATTGTCTCCAAAACAACATTTAAGGGTCTAAAAAAAGGCATTTATGGTTAGAGGAGTTTGTGTTGTAGGGCTGTACCCGAATATTCGTTCGTTGGAGTATTATTCGTTTTTCAATTTCGTTATTCGTTTTCTTCCGGTTTCTTTTCAAATTAAATTGATTGAAATCTCCAATATCAACGTATGTCTATTATCAACAATATTCGCTGCTGATTACTACCGAATATCCGGAGCCGAAAAATGGTATTCGGGACAGCCCTATTGTGTTATTATAAAAGACGATGTCATGTATTAGTAAGTCAAATCTATTGAATCTATGTATTGTCACGAGGACGTCCCGCACAAACATACGTGGACGTACTCAAGAACGACGCAGGAGCACAAAGTACCAATGAACTGGCCAGATGTATGGAGAACCGGGATGACTGGAAGCGACGATGGAGGGCTCGTCTGAGGACGACCTTGAGAGATTGTAGAGATAATGTAGCTCTCATTGTTTAGATAATTTAATTCTACGTTTATGAGTATTAAAATAAAACCAAACTAAGGACGTGCTATTTAAAATATAGAAACAACGGTTATTAAATTGTTGGGCTGGATTGATACCACGATACTCTGCTTGAAATAAAACGATGTAGGCATTGCATAGATGCAAGGCAACTCAAATGACACTAGTTAGAAAAGTAAAAGTTCCAAAATGGGTGATTTGGCTTCCTTTTGTTATTGTAGAAATTAGGTGTTGTGGTCGGAGTTCAGGTGGCCTGCTGACATAAATGAAAACGTCTCCAAAGTGTTTCCAGCAGATCAGGCCTTCTGCAGGAAAGTGACTCATGAGACCGGAGCTGTGTGTCTGAACAACGTCTTTGCAGAGTCACTGTAATCATTCATCCTATTAGTCACGATACAAAGTCACTGATTAATATCGGCTTCTAATGCAGTTTGTGAAACTGAGTTCCAAGGAAACACACACCCTGAGAGACCTCAGCCAAACATGGGCAGGCGTCTTCAGACCCGAGACAAATATTTAGACTTCCAGTACGAGTGAACACTTAGCTCGGCTGGCTTGAAATCCAAATACTTCCTTTTGAATGTGAGGTTTTTATCTGTAGTCAAATGAACACAGTACTTTCTCTGAAGATGGCTAATGACAGACTTTGCAAACAAGATGGAGTTCAAGACTTTAACATTTGTTGCAACACGAATCAAAGTCTTCCTAGCACCTAAAGTTTTCATTTCTAATCTTGTTCACAAAAATCTTTTATCACAAATGTCCAGGTTTAAAGGTGGGGTAGGTAATTCACTTCAGAAACACTTTGTTATATTCCATGGAATGCTCTTAACATCCCGATAGCAATGAATACATGAAATGCTTTGACAATAAATCCATTAACAAATTTCATCAGTGGAAGCCGTGGCGCTGTAAAAAGCACGACTAATCATCTGAGCCGGCCCGGCTAAAGTAACTGGATGGCCTACCTGCCTGTCAGCCTTCCATCTGGGCACAAACTGATCTCGTGCCCTCATTGGTCATGTGCGCGTTCGTGTGTTGGAGGAGGGGCTCTGTGAGGAAGTCTGAAGGAAGAGACATATTTTTTCCGGTTGTGTATTTTCAAATTCTAGCGCACTCGAGCTGCTTTCTCCGTTCTTAACTACCCTACCTTTAATGACTCTATTTAGCCCATTTTATACAATAAATCAAAAATAGGATGTCTTGTTTTGATTCGCTAGAAAACGTTAGCATCAGACCAGGATCATAAATAGAAAATATCCCAAGTGTGTGATAGAAAACTGTCAAGAAAAGGTTTGGAAATAAGGGTAGCTGCTTCACTTCTGTTTAATCACTTAAACAAATTGCATAAATAGGAATATTATTAAGGACATTTGAAGCTGATTCCACTTATAACAGCATACTGTAAGGGAAGGTCAGTGAATTTATTATCTTTCATTCCATATAGAAGTGATATACTTTTATATTAAAGGATATCACTTACTGCGTGTCAACCATAAGAAATGAATAGATGGCTGAATATTAAAGTAGATAATGATGGTTTCTTGAGGTCCGATAAACACTTGATTTACTTCTACGTCTTTTGTTTGTTTGTTGTTTTCAGGCCACGTTGCCATTTTTCCATTTTACTTAAAGACTAGAATAAATTAAGCTTTTTTTTACATTCTCTACGACTTCAGTTACCATAACAAATGTAGCTGCTAGCCTCCATTATCCTGCTCGGCCCCCACAGGAGGAAAGGAGGTGCCATGGAGCCTGAAATATGGACGCTGCCGTTAGAAGCAGGAGTCACGGTCTGCATTCCTCAGTAGTGAGACGAGTCTTTTGGGTCAAAACGTCTCCGACAAAGCGCTGCCTGCTGGGGTCCCATGAGGCTTTCAACAGCTTTGAATAGAAGTCCATATATGGTCGTAAACAGCCGTAAGGGCTTAAGGTGGACGGACGTTTCTTGCCTCTGAAGACTGGGGAAATAATGCAGGACAGAAGATAGAAACTGGATCATAAAACTGACTCCATTCATAGGAATTGAAGAGAAATTTAAAAATGTCTCTAATGGCATTTTTGCTTTCATCACAAATCCTCCCAGCCCAAATGATAAGTGACTTTTAATTTCGTTTTTCTTTCACTTTTGGCTATTTTTACTAAAACGTCTCTGGATCTTGTGACTTTTATTTTTCTGCTAGTCCCTGTCAGATGTCATTTGACTTTTTCTACCATTTCAATGTTCCCTCCACATTAATTTACTATGTCGATTTCTTTGTGTAGCGGTCAACATATAGAAATAACTCAAACTAAAACTGCCGCTGAGGCAACAGAGAGCAAATCTGACGCAGGGAATAATGATCCAATGTCCAGGCAAAAAGATACAATTCAAGATTCAAAGCTTTATTGTCATTGGCACATTAGCTACAGTGTAGATATGGCAATGAAAAACTTAAGTCACAGGCTCCTCCAACAGTGCAACATGAATATATATAGGACATAAAACCGATACAAATAGTGCAAGAGAGAACAGAAATAAAATGGTGCAATAAAATGTTGTAAGATGTGTAAGTAAATACAAATAAAATAGTGCAAGAACAGTCTAAGTAAATGAAATATGATTAGATAAATAAATTGGATGCAAACAGACAAATGTTTATGGAAGCACTTTATAGAGCTCAGGTGTTTGACGGCCCGTCCACACTACAGCTTCGACAGCTTCAAAAACGGTTTCCAACGCGTCTGCCCATTCACTTTGAATGGGGTGACGTCACTTTTCGCCGAACTGCATTGTGGGAAGCAGAGCGGAGCTTTCCTGGCGTTTCAGGCTTCAAAAGTTGAGCAATGTTCAACTTTTGAAGCTTCTGAAGCTTTCGGTGGAAGCGTCAGCCAATCAAATCATATGCCAGTATAAGCTCTAGCCAATCAAACCGCTGCTTGTGTGTCGGGGCGGGAGATTCATGTGATTGGTTGTTGGTCGAGCTTCAGACACGCCCAGCTCCAAGCTTTTTTTGAAGCTGTAGTGTGGACGGGCCGTTATGGTCTTATGGCCTGAGGGATGAAACTGTCTCTAAGTCTGGTGGTGTTTGTCCAGAACGTTTTTTTGTTCACTTCATTTTCTCCAAGAATCCAAAATCCAACCCATAAACAGAGCAATGGTTTCACCTAGGCTGTGCAATTAATCGTATTTTAATATTTGTTGATGTTGTTTATTGGTATTTATTATTTTGATATTATTTAAATATAAATGTATCTTTTATTTATTGTTTTTTCAGTTGAATTATACGTTCAGGGTAATCAACAGTTAAAAAGATACCGTTCAAATTATTATTTTAATTAGTTTTAAAGTTCAATAAATGGATGTTTTCAAAGTCAATGAATAATCGTATTTAATAATCGTGATTTCAATTATTGACCAAAATAATCGTGATTATGCTTTTTGCCATAATCGAGCAGCCCTAGTTTCACCTGTGCTTTCCCTGGTAAAACACACATGATCGTGCTTTTCTAACATCATGCTTCTAAATCTGAAGTTGTTCTACTTTGCAGCTTCTTGAAGTTTGTATTTTCATAATCCCAGCTGCTCGAATGGAAGCTCAGTATTTCCTTTTGTGTAGTGAAGCAGTCTCATCTGTGATGGCTCCTAATCTCCCTCATGTTCTCTGTTCACAGATGACCCTCGGCCACGAGTTTGGTGCTGGAGCTTCCTGTTTGAAATGCAAGGACAAGTGTGAAGGCTTCGAGCTGCATTTCTGGAGGTTAGTGCAGCTGTTCTCAAGCAGCATGAAATATACATGTGACGGTGGCTCATCACTCTCTATCCCAATTTAACACGAGCAGCTTCCAGGGCGGCTTCATTTGGAAAATAGACTAATTGAGGTTATATTGACTGACTGGTCATTAGTCCTGGCAGCCTGTTTAGCAGCTCTCCTTTGTTTCTACTTCTTCTTGTCTTTTCTCAACAAAAATGTATCCTGAATTTCCCCACAGGGATCAATAAAGGTCCATCTTATCTTATCTTATCTTATAATGCAGTTGCAATATGATGAGGTATTAAAGAGAATACAATATAAAAATTGATCAATAAAAGAAGTGAGAATATTAGATTTTTGATCAAGTCTGTTGAGTACTGTAGTAGGTCAGGACTTCAACACTTCATTCAGATATTTTCACATATTTGGCCTTTCCCAAATGATGCGCTTTCTGGTTTTTGATATTGCACTAGTCAATGAAATACTGATTAATTGTGCAGCCCTGGCAGCAGCTTTGGTGAAAAGGGTCCTGTGGAGAAAAGCACTGAACCATGTGGCAGTCTTCCCAGCAGCTTCTACTGAAGCCTTCCGAGTAAATCGCCAGAACGCCGACACCTCCTCATCTCCACCGCTCCCATGTTTTCCTTTGTGTTGCCATAAGTTATTCTCTCTCCGTTGGTGCGCGGGGCTAATGCTAATAATGCTAATGTGAGCAAATAAAATGGCGGCTTCACAAAACCTTTTCAGAGTTATACGGGGCGTGGTTTGCAATTCCCCCAGCCAATCAGAAATTGGAACATTTTTCTCCGCAGGATAGTCCCACCTCTCTAGGAGGCACTCAAAAGGGGTGAAAAGGTTCGCAAAAAAAAGTTCTAGTTCCAGATCTTTTTGGTGTGAACGCAAAATCCCAGGAACTATCGGAACTATTCCTGGGAAAAGTACTCCGGTGTGAAAGCGCCTAATGTTATTAAAATCGCAATATGGACGAGTGCAAAATTGAGGGTGTTGTGACGCTGCAAGAAGTCATAATAATTATAATCAATTGTATTTACAGGCGCACTTTTCATTTGAGTAAACAAAACTCAAAGTGTGAGTAAAATGGTTGAAACTAAACAACAAAATAAATATATATGTATATATATAATAAAGTAAACAACAGAATAAAAACAAAGAAAAATAAGGTTTGCTATTCTACATACTTAATAAAAACACTTGTTTGGTACAAATCCTTTTAAAATAATCCCACCATAATCAATTAAAAAAAGATTTCCAATAATAATCTGAAGGCAGTAGACAGTTAGTTGTTTAAAAAAATAAAACCTTGGACTGTGTACTACTTGCAGCCAGACTACCCAGAGTCCTCTGTCTGGCTTCCTCTGTCACAATACGTTCAATTATTAGCACCAGTGGCTCATGGCTTACTGTTCTCTCTGACCACACTTGGTTAGTTTCCCTGAAGGCAGAGACATGTGCCCTGATGCCCCCCCCAGCACACTGTGGGACACTCAGACAGGAATGTGAAGCCGTTACAGACCAACAGCGACACAAAGGCTTTCCTCATCTCCAAAACTGTAAAACTGCTGCTTAGTCATAATTTCACACGAATAAACTACCATTGAACATCCCCTTTGGATTTGTATTCCTATAGTACAGCTGTTGTCATGACTGGTTGCCTACTTTGAATATATCGTACACGAGGAAGCACAGGAACACAGTGGTGTCTCAATATTCCACTGATCATCACGTGGTGTAATATATATAATAGTAGTTGTGAATATAGCAGCACTTAAGTGTATACAACCTTCACAGGGCTGCTTTAACATCGCTAGAATAAAACGGTAAAGGACTTAAATAAAATAATTAGTCTTTATCAGTTAATATGTTATCCTCAGTGTTTAAATATATTTTCCAGATTGTTTCCATGAACGTAAACGCTGTCATTGTGTCGGTTTCTTCTCACAAACAAACTGGGTTTAAAAGCATCTCAGTGCAGAGAGAAGTCTGTGTTCCTGCTCAAGCTGAAGCATGCTGAGCAGTCATAAATGATGTCATCGTTACTCTGCAAATATGAGGTAGGTGTGTTGAGGCTTGTGAGAAGGGCAGATATTTCAATATTAATGTAACACTAAGCGTGTTGCATTGGTGTTAATAATGTAGCAACGTTGAGACAGATTGTTGTTTCTAAAGTTAGAAAAAATATATAAGAAAAACATGTTTGTTTAAAAGACACAGTTAAGTGAGCCTAAGGGGTTAGAGGCTTATTCCACACATACAAAGCAAAATAATAGGTAACATTAGGTTTCTACAATTAACCAGGCTTCAATTCAAGAATACAACTTCATGATCTGGGTAGTAACTATTACTTTGTTGTATGCGTCTGTTTGTGTATTTGTGATTGTTGTTGTATGCGCTTGTATACTTTGTAACCTGTGTTAATTTACATATTAAATGATTAAATGTATTTGTTCTAACCTGTGTATCCTTGTGACTATTATTATTTTTGTTGTTTTGTTTCCCATTGTAAAGCGTCCTTGGGTCTCTTGAAAGGCGCTATAAAACATTTCAATTATTATTATCCTTTCTCTCACACTAAAAATGACTGAACATATTAGTCAACATTTAAAAAATCGTTAACATTTTACACTTTTTCTCCGTAGGAAAATCTGCAGGAACTGTAAATGTGGGCTGACGGAGCACAACGTGCAGATGATCTCTGAGGAGAACAAGAAGGTGGGGAAGCTGTTCGAGGACACCAAGTACACCGGCCTGATCGCCAAGCTGAAGACGGACGGCGTCCCCAGCTACCGCGGCAACATGGTGACCATCTCCATGCCCAGCAGCGGCACCGCGTACATCGTGCCGCCCAGCGCCTCCTCTTCTTCTGTGGTGCGTCCGCCTGCCACCGCTGGTTCTGTGCAGCCAGCAGGGGGCGCTGCAGGTCCAGCAGGGGGCGCTGCAGGTCCAGCAGGGGGCGCTGCAGGTCCAGCAGGGGGCGCTGCAGGTCCAGCAGGGGGCTCTGCAGGTCCAGCAAGGGGCGCTGCAGGTTCATCAGGGGGTGTTCGTCCTCCAGCAGCCAGCCTCACGCCCCTGAAGGCCAACAGAGTGCCCGTCACCGTCAGCCTCGCCTCAGCCAACACGGTGCCCAGAGACGTGCCCATGATGTCCGTCACCTACGAGTGGGCTCCACCTGTTGCCAATAAGTACCTGGTAAGAGTTCAAACTGTGGGCTGAAGTGACGGGATGGGAATGATTAATCGAATGTTTGAAATTATTCAGGTTTTCGAATATGAGTTATGAATATTTATATTGTAATTTCTTCTTTTTTTTGATGGGAGGGATGCCTAAATTGATTACATATTTAATGTATACGACAGTGCCATTTTAAATATCTTAAGAAAAATATCGAAGAAAGTAAATAGGGCTGCAAGATTTTGAAAGAAATGTGCAATTGCGATATGGCTTGCAATATTGCAATACTGTCCGTCTGGAAGTCCTGTTATATCTGTGTATCTGTTTGTCCTACTGAATCTGCAGTACTCTTGTTTTGCACATTTTCTCACCACAAACCTCTGTTTTAAACACGTTGTTGTTCAAGTATTTCCCCTCTGTCTCTTTCTGATTGGTCCTTAACTTCCTGTCTGAGCCCTTCACCCCTCTGGCCTTCACACAGTCTCTGATTCTTCCCATTTCTTCCCCCTCTCTCTCTTCTAGGCGGCGCGGTACATCGAGCTGCTTCCCGCAGAGAAGCGTCCGGTGGCCGGTACCGAGGGAGCCGTGTATCGCCGGCAGCAGATGGCCCGCCAGCTGCCAGAACACGACCAGGACCCGGCCCAGTGCCACGAGTTGAGCCCCGCCGAGGTCAAGCAGATGCAGCAGTTCGTCAGAAAGTACAAGGACGAGGCGTTGGGCGTGGCAGACGTCATCCTGCCCGAGGAGATGGCTCTGGTTCGGGCCGGGGGAGGAGCTGGAGGGGCTCACGGTGCTGGAGGGGCCGGGTATGGACCGGGAGGAGTGGGGGCCGGAGCTGGAGGTCCTGGAGCTGGTTATGGTGCTGCAGCTGGTTATGGGCCAGGGAATGCAGGTCCTGGAGTTGGTGCTGGTTTTGGAGCTGGAGCAGGAGGTAGAGGAGCTGCTGCTCCTGGTTCTGCTGGTTATGCTGGTGCTCCTGGTTATGCTGGTTATGCTGGTGTTCCTGGTTCTGCTGGTGCTCCTGGTGTTCCTGGTTCTGCTGGTTATGCTGGTGCTCCTGGTTCTGCTGGTTATGCTGGTGTTCCTGGTTCTGCTGGTGCTCCTGTTGTTCCTGGTTCTGCTGGTTATGCTGGTGTTCCTGGTTCTGCTGGTGCTCCTGGTGTTCCTGGTTCTGCTGGTTATGCTGGTGCTCCTGGTTCTGCTGGTTATGCTGGTGTTCCTGGTTCTGCTGGTGCTCCTGTTGTTCCTGGTTCTGCTGGTTATGCTGGTGTTCCTGGTTCTGCTGGTGTTGCTGGTGCTCCTGGTTCTGCTGGTGTTCCTGGTTCTGCTGGTTATGCTGGTGTTCCTGGTTCTGCTGGTGCTCCCGGTTCTGCTGGTGTTCCTGGTTATGCTGGTGCTCCTGGTCTTCGTGGTGCTCCCGGTTCTGCTGGTGTTGCTGGTGTTCCTGGTTCTGCTGGTCTTCCTGGTTCTGCCGGTGTTGCTGGTTATGCTGGATATGCTGGTGTTCCCGGTTCTGCTGGTATTGCTGGTGTTCCTGGTTCTGCCGCTGTTCTTGGTTATGCTGAGGTTTCTGGTGTTTCCCGGTGTTCCTGGTTATGCTGGATATGCTGGCGTTCCTGGTGCTCCTGGTTCTGCTGGTGCTCCCGGTTCTGCTGGTGCTCCCGGTGCTCCTGGATATGCTGGTGTTGCCGGTGTTCCTGGTTCTGGTGTCGCTGGTGCCCTCCCAGGGCCCGGCTCAGGAGCGATGGGCGCTCCTGGATCTCAGCAGGCTGGACTCCCACAGCAGGCCTTCGTAAGTCGATCATTTATTTATCATCAAACACGTTGCTACTTTAAATAAAACTGTATACATTAAGGACAGATAATTGGTTGAAATTATTATAACGTATTTAAAAATAATACCTCCAGATTCTACAACTTCTAAAAAAGTGCCTAAAAAAACTTTCCCCCCATCGTTCTTTTTCAACCTTCCCTTTACAGCTTGTTCAGAAATAATAGTTGCCCAACTTTATATTTTGTACTGATTCCTGAATATGGTCGTATCGTCTTAACATGATACAGTTTAACTCGACAGGCTTCACTACATATTGTCTGTGTGCCACTTTAGTGAAACACTAGCTAAGTGCCATTATTGAACTGAATGGACTCAAATGGCTTAATATTGATAACAACCAAAGAGAGAGAGAACCATTATTATTCTTCTTTACTACCACATCATTCCTGTTTATTGAACAATAGGCGCTTTCACACCGGAGTACTTTTCCCAGTATAGTTCCGAAAATGTGCGTTCACACCAAAAAGATCCGGAACTAGAACTTAGTTCATGAGAACCTTTTTACCCCCTTGCTAAAGAGCAGGTACTTTCATGGGAGAAAAAGGTTCTTATTTCTGATTGGCTGGGTGGATTGCAAACCACGCCCCGTAAAACTCCCAACAAGTTTTATCAAGCCGTCATTTTATTTTCCCCGCATTAGCATTATTAGCATTAGCATTATTAGCATTAGCCCAGCGCACAAACGGAGAGAGACTAATTTATGGCAACACAAAAGGAAACATGGGAGCGGTGGAGATGAGGAGGTGTTGTCGTTTCTGGCGATTTACTCGGAAGGCTTCAGTAGAAGCTGCTGGGAAGACTTCCAGCCAGGGCCGTCCCTGGCCAACTGGAGGCCCCACGCAAAGTTATATGATGAGGCCCTCTGTCTTACGAGTGTCGACAGGGGGAGGGGTGCTAGTGGAGCCATACCACACTAATTGCGCCGCATAAGTGAGGCCCCCTCCGCAAGGTGAGGCCCCACGCAGTCTGCATGATCGGCCTGTAGGGAGGGACGGCCCTGCTTCCAGCAGCTTCTACTGAAGCCAGTCCCCAACTCCGGGGACTTCGGGTGGCAGTATACGCCGTGAAGTTGTTTGCGGCCTGCCAGTTAACCCAAAGCAGAAGAAGAAGTACGGCAAAGTACTTGCGTTGCGGTCGGATAATCCAAAAATCAGCTCCTAACGTCTAACCCTAGCGTCTATTCCTTGACCTCTGAGTGAAACGTTAAGGGATAGTGGATAGGAGAATTCAAAAGGACTTAAGAGAAGAGACCGCGGTACTTTAGTGAATCCGAATGCACTTTCACTATCCGACGTGTTTATGATGCACCAGCGGACGTCATGAATGTGCGTCTGCTGCTGTGGGCAAACTATGGAAACTACAGTTTTCTATACAGCGGACTACAACATGGATGTTCAATAAGAACGAGGGACTCATCTAGAGACTCTGTGCTCTGATGCTGTTGCTTTATGCTTTATGAACGTGGACAACAGAGAAACATATTCTTCAGGACCAAAGTTGGAGTTGAAATAAAAAAGGAAAGTGAAACTTATGCTCGTCACCCTCTCCCTCCGGTCCACATTAATACAAATGATCCCAATACGTATGATTGATGAAAAGATCTTAAAATCAATACAAATGTATTTAGTATAAACGTTAGTCCTTAACATCTATCACTGTGTATATCACCATTCAAACATCTTTTAAAAGTTGAACAAACCCCACACAGCTCAGTAAAGACTGAGAGATGTTGACTTTATTTGATCATTTCAGTAAAAACTAACGTTCATATTTCTCTCTTTGATTATAATACTGATGCACGTTCAGAATAAAGCACTTTGGCAACTTACCACATACGTTTTAAAATGCTTAACGTAACTTTCATGATATCATTTCTCGGTCATAATCGGTTGTTTCCGTGAACGGCCGACTGTTGAGTGACGGCAAATGTTGCGGCTGCATTGCATTGTGGGGCAGCATTTTCTCCTCTCCTTTCGGTGAGGGAGGTCCAGTGGTTCCTAAGCTAAAGGAGGTTATAAAGGAAGTTTGAAACCTCCTTTCCTATCATCTAGAGAATTGGAACGGCACTTATCATGGCTGCCACTGAGGGACTTCCGGGTCATTTCACTCCGTTAGGAAGGTTCCTAAGCTAATGAACTATTCCACTTCAGCCCCGGTGTAAAAGCGCCTAATGAGTTAACCAATGAAAATAAGTTGCAAGGACACACTATCTGATTTTGAGGCTACAGTTCAGTAGGAAGCAGTCAATCCTTCCTTACTCTAGGGGCGCTGTGCTGAAGTGGATCCACGAAATAAAATTAATAATAATAACAATTGTAGGTAATAGGGAACTTTTTGCACTTGGTTGCAAACACGCTTTATTGTGACGTAGCATTTGGAAATAATAAGTACCAGATTAAATGTAATGACTGTTATTTTAACTGAATATTTGTATGTATTTGAATTAGACGTCTGCTTTGTCAGGAAAACAAAACATATATATATTTACAATCAGCAAAAAAAACTTTAAAAACATCACATATAGCATTATATATATATATATATATATATATGCATGAAAAAAAAAAATACAATTAATAAATAGAAATATCTCAAATAAACTATTTTGTTTTTACCAAATTGACGATGCATAGTTGCACTCTAGGTCCAATACATACTTTTGAGATGTCTTTACAACCAGGTTTTAATTACGGACAGTAAACCTGATGTTTGCACAGTGCATTACTGCCACTATGAATTACCCCAAAGATGTTCCTGAACTCAACACCAGGTGGAGCTGTAAGACCAGCTCTTACTCTGGGTCATGAGTCACGAGCAGAGGTGTTTTAACATCACCATGTGCCGCCTGTTAGATCCTGCTGTGTGCAGTCTTATGATTTAAGATATTTCTCTACTTTCTTTATCCTCCTCCTTATTAATTCCTCACATTATACGTGACTGCACAATCTCAGGAACACTCTCTTCTCTCCTTGAACACAACCATGTATTTACTTATCTCTAACTTCCCCTTAGCTCCACCAGCTGCCATGCTATCTTGATGAATCTCACCAGGGTCACTGTGGGCTTCTGTATTATAATAATGGGGACATCCGCCCCTTTTTAAGCAGTAAAATGGGCCCTTTTCATTCATAGAGTGCAGATACTTCAAATGCTCCCTTATAAAATGTGATATGTCAGATCAAACGAGGCCTTCATGACTTTGAAATGGACTCAAAGTGAAGGACACTGGCCTTTGTGTACAGGAAGTACATACAAATCCTTTGTAATGATTAAAGGGGATGAAAGAAGTATTTTGGGGACAGGATGTTACTGTCTAACACGGTGTTATTTTATGTACATGCAATTTTCCGGATAGTGTTGCTCCATATTAAACAGGCATTGTGTGTCAAATACAAACTCCTAATTTGCAGTTTAAATAATTATGAATCAAGTCATTTAATTGAAGTCATTTCAAGGTTCAAGGCTTTTATTTGTCATACGTACATAGCTACTGTGAAGTTATGACAATGAAAATCTTAGGTCACAGGCTCCTCCCACAATGCAACAGTAACAACAGCAGTAATTGATTATTAATCAATCAACATCAGTCCTTTAGTTCAACTAATGTATCAAAAATCTTTAACATTCACTTTAACAACATCAATTTGGAACTAATAACAGCGCTAATAAATATTGTTTTTATTTCATTATTACATGACTTAGGCCTTTTGGTTATGAAAAAGTAAAACAAAAACAGCCCAATTTTAAGGTACAAGTAAAGGTAACGAAAACAACTTAATGTATTAATAATATCAAAAATATGATAAACAATTGAGCAATACTTAATCCTTAAATGTTGGGCTTTCATAAACCAACGAGATACTCAATGATTCAACTTTATTTACTGTCATCTGGTGAAGCACCATGTTATTAATTAACTCAAATTCTCTTCTTCTTCTTCTCTCCTCTGTAGTCGTGCAATCACTGCCAGCAGCCGATGCGAGTTGGCGAGCCGGCGGTGTACGCAGAGCGCGCCGGATACGATAAGATGTGGCACCCCGCCTGCTTCGTCTGCTGTAACTGCAGCGAGCTGCTGGTGGACATGATCTACTTCTGGAAGAAAGGCAAGCTGTACTGCGGACGCCACTACGGAGACAGCGAGAAGCCGCGCTGTGGAGGCTGTGATGAGGTGGGGAGGACATTGTTACTCGTTAAAGGTCACCTATTATGCAAAATCCACTTTTTCACATCGTGTATACATCAACATGTGTCCCCTCTTCTTCATGTCTCTTCTACATCAACATGTGTCCCCTCTTCTTCATGTCTCTTCTACATCAACATGTGTCCCCTCTTCTTCATGTATCTTCTACATCAACATGTGTCCCCTCTTCTCCATGTATCTTCTACATCAACATGTGTCCCCTCTTCTTCATGTCTCTTCTACATCAACATGAGTCCTCTCTTCTTCATGTCTCTTCTACATCAAACATGTGTCCCCTCTTCTTCATGTCTCTTCTACACTCAACACGTGTCCCTCTTCTTCATGTCTCTTCTACATCAACATGTGTCCCCCTCTTCTTCATGTCTCCTCTACATCAACCTGTGTCCCCTCTTCTTCATGTCTCTTCTACATCAAACTGGTCCCCCTCTTCTTCATGTCTCTTCTACATCAAAAGTGTCCCCTCTTCTTCATGTCTATTCTACATCAAACATGTGTCCCCTCTTCTTCATGTCTCTCTACATCAAACATTGTGTCCCCTCTTCTTCATGTCTCTCTACATCAACATGTGTCCCCCTCTTCTTCATGTCTATTCTACATCAACATGTGTCCCCTCTTCTTCATGTCTCTTTCTACATCAACATGTGTCCCCTCTTCTTCATGTCTCTTCTACATCAACATGTGTCCCCTCTTCTTCATGTCTCTTCTACATCAACATGTGTCCCCTCTTCTTCATGTCTCTTCTACATCAACATGTGTCCCCTCTTCTTCATGTCTCTTCTACATCAACATGTGTCCCCTCTTCTTCATGTCTCTTCTACATCAACATGTGTCCCCTCTTCTCCCTTGTCTCTTCTACATCAACATTGTGTCCCCTCTTTCCTCATGTCTCTTCCACATCAACATGTGTCCCCTCTTCCTCATGTCTATTCTACATCAACATGTGTCCCCTCTTCCTCATGTCTCTTCTACATCAACATGTGTCCCCTCTTCCTCATGTTCTTCTACATCAACATGTGTCCTCTTCTTTATGTCTCTTCTACATCAACATGTGTCCCCTCTTCTTCTATGTCTCTTCTACATCAACATGGTCCCCTCTTCTTCATGTCTCTTCTAATCAACATGTGTCCCCTCTTCTCCATGTCTCTTCTACATCAACATGTGTCCCCTCTTCTTCATGTCTCTTCTACATCAACATGTGTCCCCTCTTCTCCATGTATCTTCTACATCAACATGTGTCCCCTCTTTCTTCATGTCTCTTCTACATCAACATGTGTCCCCTCTTCTTCATGTCTCTTCTACATCAACATGTGTCCCCTCTTCTTCATGTCTCCTTCTACATCAACATGTGTCCCCCCTCTTCTTCCATGTCTCTTCTACATCAACATGTGTCCCCTCTTCTTCATGTCTCTTCTACATCAACATGTGTCCCCTCTTCTCATGTCTCTTCTACATCAACATGTGTCCCTCTTCTTCATGTCTCTTCTACATCAACATGTGTCCCCTCTTCTTCATGTCTCTTCTACATCAACATGTGTCCCCTCTTCTTCATGTCTATTCTACATCAACATGTGTCCCCTCTTCTTCATGTCTTCTACATCAACATGTGTCCCCTCTTCTTCATGTCTCTTCTACATAAACATGTGTCCCCTCTTCTTCATGTCTCTTCTACATCAACATGTGTCCCCTCTTCTTCATGTCTCTTCTACATCAACATGTGTCCCCTCTTCTTCATGTCTCTTCTACATCAACATGTGTCCCCTCTTCTCCATGTCTCTTCTACATCAACATGTGTCCCCTCTTCCTCATGTCTCTTCCACATCAACATGTGTCCCCTCTTCCTCATGTCTATTCTACATCAACATGTGTCCCCTCTTCCTCATGTCTCTTCTACATCAACATGTGTCCCCTCTTCCTCATGTCTCTTCTACATCAACATGTGTCCCCTCTTCCTCATGTCTCTTCTACATCAACATGTGTCCCCTCTTCCTCATGTCTATTCTACATCAACATGTGTCCCCTCTTCCTCATGTCTATTCTACATCAACATGTGTCCCCTCTTCTTCATGTCTCTTCTACATCAACATGTGTCCCCTCTTCTTCATGTCTCTTCTACATCACATGTGTCCCCTCTTCCTCATGTCTCTTCTACATCAACATGTGTCCCCTCTTCTTCATGTCTCTTATACATCAACATGTGTCCCCTCTTCCTCATGTCTCTTCTACATCAACAGTGTCCCCTCTTCCCTCATGTCTATTCTACATCAACATGTGTCCCCCTCTTCTTCATGTCTCTTCTACATCAACATGTGTCCCCTCTCCTCATGTCTCTTCTACATCAACATTTGTCCCCTCTTCCTCATGTCTTCTTCTACCTCAACATGTTGTCCCCTCTTCTTCATTGTCTCTTCTACATCAACATTGTGTCCCCTCTTCTTCATGTCTCTTCTACATCAACATGTGTCCCCTCTTCCTCATGCTCTTCTACATCAACATGTGTCCCCTCTTCCTCTATGTCTCTTCTACATCAACATGTGTCCCCTCTTTCCTCATGTCTCTTCTACATCAACATTGTGGTCCCCTCTTCCTCATGTCTCTTCTACATCAACATGGTGTCCCCTCTTCCTCATGTCTCTTCTACATCAACATGTGTCCCCTCTTCTCATGTCTCTTCTACATCAACATGTGTCCCCCTCTTCCTCATGTCTCTTCTACATCAAATGTGTCCCCTCTTCCTCATGTCTCTTCTACATCAACATGTGTCCCCTCTTCTTCATGTCTCTTCTACATCAACATGTGTCCCCTCTTCATCCATGTCTCTTCTACATCAACATGTGTCCCCTCTTCTTCATGTTTTCTACATCAACATGTGTCCCCTCTTCTCCATGTCTCTTCTACATCAACATGTGTCCCTCTTCTTCATGTCTCTTCTACATCAACATGTGTCCCCTCTTCTTCATGTCTCTTCTACATCAACATGTGTCCCCTCTTCTTCATGTCTCTTCTACATCAACATGTGTCCCTCTTCTTCATGTCTCTTCTACATCAACATGTGTCCCCTCTTCTTCATGTTCTTCTACATCAACATGTGTCCCTCTTCTCATGTCTCTTCTACATCAACATGTGTCCCCTCTTCTTCATGTCTCTTCTACATCAACATGTGTCCCCTCTTCTCATGTCTCTTCTACATCAACATGTGTCCCCTCTTCTTCATGTCTCTTCTACATCAACATGTGTCCCCTCTTCTTCATGTCTCTTCTACATCAACATGTGTCCCCTCTTTCCATGTCTCTTCTACATCAACATGTGTCCCCTCTTCTTCCATGTCTCTTCTTTACATCAACATGTGTCCCTCTCTTCTTCATGTCCTTCTACATCAACATGTGTCCCCTCTTTCTTCATGTCTCTTCTACATTCAACATGTGTCCCCTACTTTCTTCCATGTCTCTTCTAACATCAACATGTGTCCCCTCTTCTCCATGTCTCTTCTACATCAACATGTGTCCCCTCTTCTTCATGTCCTCTTCTAACAATCAACTATGTGTCCCCTCTTCTTCATGTCTCTTCTACATCAACATGTGTCCCCTCTTCTTCATGTCTCTTCTACATCAACATGTGTCCCCTCTTCTCCATGTCTCTTCTACATCAACATGTGTCCCCTCTGTGGAAAGAGACTCTGAAAGTTTCAGGATCAAAGATTTTCTCTCTTTTTGATCCATTTCTATAAAAACCTGTCTGAAAATGAGCTGATCAGATTTTAGCCACTTTATGATGTCATAACGATGTTTTGTCTTGTGTAACCATTAGCCAATCACCAACCAAGGTAACCCCCCCCCCCCCCCCTTATCACCTGAATCTCCTCCTAGAGCACCATTGAGTTCTTTATAACCAAATCTCTCTCAGAGGGGCGTGGGGAGGGGCTCCTTATTTTCATCTAAAGTAACAGACAGAGAATCAGCACTTTGGAAACAGGGCTGAAACAGAGGGGATTATGGGTAATGCTGGGATGGTGTTTCAGCCAATCAGAGACAGGCTCTGTATATATCTGAGACCTATAATATATAGATGAAAAACAGTATCATAGGGGACCTTTCAAATATATTTATACTTAGCAGGACCCACTAAAGCTTCAGTTAGACCCCTGCAGGTGGTACAGAGCTGCTCCAGTCCTTACTAACACTTTCAAAATGGATCAAACCATTCAAGTTGTAGGACCTTTACACCAATGTCCTGTCTGTCAAAGAATTTAATTTAAAATAATTCTGCCGGTTCATAAAGCACGGTATATTTTAAGGCCAAATTACATTCTGCTAGAAGTCTCACCTAACTATTCATAACTCACACTGTATAAATAAACTTGCCTTGTCTTTAGAAGGTATTTGTTTAGTAGAATTTCCTTGCAGCACAATTATCGTGAGATTTGGATGTATTCATTTTTAGTTTTTAAGGTTCATAGCACTTTTTGAATCCCTATTTCCTGTGTCTGTCCACAGCTGATCTTCAGTAATGAGTACACGCAGGCTGAGGGTCAGAACTGGCATCTGAAGCACTTCTGCTGCTTCGAGTGCGACTGTATCCTCGCCGGAGAGACGTACGTGATGGAGAACGATAAACCCGTGTGCCAGCCGTGCTACATGAAGAGCTACGCTGTGGTGAGACCGACTTTCTCTGGGTGTTTGTTTATAAAAGTAGAATATGTTGTTGTGTTTATGGAAGCTGTTGCCTTTACCACAATTCAAAATATAGTAACATTTGGCAAAAACGTAAAGATATCGACGTTATGTGGCTAACAGCTATAACAACACTCACATGTGGTTACAGCTCAACTGTTGCCTTTAATTGTATCCTTTGATTCCTACTAACTTAGTTGTTGTTGCCTGTTTTGTAATTTGGTTTGTGTAATGTTTTGTCCTAAGTGTATTTTTGTTATCTAAAATCTATTGAGAATAAAAAATATTAAACTAAACGACAACCTGTCCCCCTAACCTCATCTCACCCTCCTCTGTCCCAGAAATGCTCCTCCTGCCAGCTCCTAGTTGATCCCGAGGCCCAGAGGGTTTCCTACGGAGACTTCCACTGGCACGCCGACCCGCAGTGCTTCAAGTGCTCCGGCTGCTCCAAGTGTCTGGTGGGCCAGCGCTTCATGGCCGTGAAGAACTTCCTCTTCTGCTCCGTGGACTGCAAGAAGAAAATCGTGGTTTAGAGCGGCCCTCCATCTTCCCCAAAAACCACTGGTGAAACCAGGCTGCGTTCAGATGGAGTCAGAGCAGAAACATGGCTGCACGTGGGAAGAGATTGTGTGGTGTTGTGTTACCACTCAGTGCCTGATACCTCTGATATAGAGGCGTATAATAATAATAATAGTAATGCATTTTACATTAGGGTGCTCGTACCCTTCGGTTCATGGAGATCACAGTATTGATAAATCACCCAAACGTCTTCCTTCCAGTTTGTTATTTTCAACAACTTCAGTATAAATACGTAGAGAAAAGGCAAATAAAACACAGCAAAACAAAGCTTATAATTAAAAAGCGTTCACTTGAGTTATCCAATTACATTGTTTCTCGTCAAGGACGTCATATTTTATGATAAAAATTACAAACTTTACGATAACTACGTTTCCAAATGGACTTTGGTTGTGTTACCATTCAGTGCCTGATACGTCTAATATTGAGGCGTGTAGTAATAAGGAGTTCATTTGACGTTAGGGTGCTCGTACCCTTCAGTTCATGGAGATCACAGTATTGATAAATCACCCAAACGTCTTCCTTCCAGTTTGTTATCTGCCTTTTCTCAGCTAATTCAGTTTAAATACGTACTGTAGAGAAAAGGCAAATAAAACCAAGGTATTTGAAGTGGTAGAGCAGAAAACAAAGCTTATAATTAAAAAGCGCTCCTGTGAGTTATCCAATGACATTGTTTCTGGTCAAGGACGTCATATAAACTTCAAGGTCTGTCAGCCATTTCCTCTCAACTATTCCATTGTTGTTGCTTTTCTTGCACTGTTTTCATTCCGATGAGATTTATTTTGTGTTGGTCAGTTTTCTGATGTTGAACCTGTGTCTTTGAATGTGCTGCTCCTATTGAACCTACTGTTGATTTGCCACCATTTGAGCGTTCTTCCTACAAAATAACTACTGATACTATCTCTCCTCGATGCAGTAATATGGTGAGCAATATTTGCCAGGTTTGCTTTGCTTCTTGAACACTGTATTTCAGATCAAACTGAAATAAAATGGTATTTGATGTTAAAAACTCTGAGGAAATGTAACTTGAGAGATTTTGGAAATGAAACATCCGACACTGATAAGAGCATATGTTCTTTTACACATAATCCAATAGGGTGTGTATATATTGCAGTATTAAATAGTATTTTGGATTGACACTAAATGAAAACCTCCCATGATGCACCACCAGTATAACATATTGCTTTCCTACAGGTGTATGAAAGGCATTTATAACTCCGTCCAGCTTGTGTATGTTGATGTGGATAAAGAACGTGCACAGAGATATTTTGTATTGTAAGGATGTTAGATTGCATTAGCTTTTGTCCCATGAACTGGCATCACTGTGGATCGAGTTCAATCCAATTATACTGCAAGATATATCCTTGAAAAAAAAGTTGAACTGCATTTGGTTGTTGGATCTTCGTTAACTAAAAATATATCAGAGTACAAATAAAAAGGGAAAAAGGCTGAACAAACCAATGAGAGCAGAACATATGTTTGGTTTTACATTTCCATCCAGATCATCCACTGGTGAATACAAACACTGAACATGTGTTGTATAGGAATAATGACATGGGACCCAAACACTTAATGACATCAGGAAATCACTGGACATTCCCATAAATAAAGACGATGTGAGTTTCTTTATTTTTTGTTCTTTTGTGCCATGTACTTTTCCAATCATGCAATAAATGGCATTTGACACATTTCAATGCTCTGAGGATCACCCATCACTGCTATATAATAATACAGTTATGTTTTAGCAGCCGATTGGAGTCACTTCACAGCCTTGGTCCGCCCCCCCACATGTGTTTTCACTTGTGCTTCATTCCTGCTAAGCAGAGGTGGGAAGTAACTTAGTACATTTACTCGAGTACTGAGTACAATGTACTTGTGCTTTACTTGAGTATTTACACGTTATGCTACGTTATACTTTTACTCCACTACATGTATATAATACCTTTAGTTACTTTACAGATTTGGATTAATGATGTGAAATATAATCAAGTCTTAAAGTGGACCAATCATGCTATTTTTAGGCAGTAGCATATATCTCAGATATATAAAAATATGAAGTGTTTTCCTCCAAACACCAAACAGATCATTCTAGGCATGCCTCATATCCCTCTATTTCACTTCCTGTTTCAAAAGTGCTGATTTGGGTATAAAGCTTTAAAAAGGAGGGTCTGAGCTCATGCGGGACCCGGCAGCTACTGTCTAAACTAAATGCTGCCGTGATGAAACGCCATATCATGGATTATCAAGGATTCTCTCTGAAACAGTTTGGAGCTCAAAGGCTTTCTCTCTTGCTGGTTATACCACAAGGTGAGTTCCTTTTTACTTCCTGCTTCTTCACACACATGCTCTCCAGTACAGGTTAGCTCTGAGTGTTAGCGATGCTAATGTAAACACCGACCATATTACGTCCAAAACAGTCGGGCATTGTTTCTGATAGCAACGTTTCTGATTGGGCCGTGAGTCCACATTTCAGATATTACGTCATATCGGACGCAAATCTGGATCAGCTCCGTTGTTCCCCGTTTTTAGAGAAAAGAGAGAGGGTTTTATTTTCTGACGCTGCGTGAGTTCCCCGACACACCGGGGACACATCTTTATGTATAAAAGACATCAACAAGTGCATTGCATGATAGGTCCCCTTTGAATCAGACTTTAGTTCCACCTGGAGTAAATCCACAAGCTACCCTGCAGTATACAAAGTCATTCAAACTAGCTGCACCTTTACCAGCTTTGAGAACACTTTCATGATCAATCATTATAAAACATATCATATATATTATTCTGAAATGGATCAATCTGCACAACGACTACTTTTACTGTCGCTACTTTCACTATATTTTGATGCAAACACTTTGTACTTTTACTTGAGTCATATTTTGAATGCAGGACTTTTACTGTAACAGAGTATTCCTACACTCTGGTACTTCTACTTTTACTCAAGTACAAGATCTGACTACTTTTCCCAACTCTGCCACTCAGTGTTTTCTGCACCTGTAACAAACAGCTGCAGAAAACACCTCGTGGTGTCTGTATAGGGAACTCTGCCTGATGGAGCCAGTAAAGATTAGCAACTTAAGTAATATGAAAGATCACCAAATCCAAGCTCCACTGTTTCTGTATAAAAATGCCAAGGAAAACTGCACTCAAAACGCTTTTCTGTGTCTAATTCGGTCTAATATTTTACACACATACTTTTTATGAACATACTTTAGTTTTCTTTTATCATATGCACAATAGCTACAGAGTAATGACAATTCAAATTATCATCCAACAGTGCAACAAACAATATACTTATATGTTATATGTAGAGATATAAAGAAAAAGACATAAAAGAATGGAGGAAAATGCTAAAATGTAAAATATCTACATTATTACTCCGATTTGGTGCTGCCAAAGTTGTGACTGATGGTACTTTTTATTTTTATTTGTACACTTTCAAGTGCAGCTACAGTGGAGATTGGATTAATTTCAGCAGCAGTGTACCAAGGAAACAGGTGATCCCCCTATTTGACATAGTGGAAAAAGCACAGGTGAAGCTAATAACATTAACTCATCCCAGTGAACCATTACATCATGCAACGCACTGGAACAGACTGACCTTAAGGTGAATACAGCCAGTGGTCATGTTAGTAATTACACCTGTGCTTTCCCCACATCTGTGTTTGTGATGACATCATGTATTTCCCCATCATGCTTCAGCCTGAGCTGGGATGTAATCAGTGTAACCAACAACACCTGTGTGGATGTGAAGAGCCTTTATTCAGGTCATTGAGAAATAAGAGGTTTCCCTTACAAACACTGTTGAATCAATGGTTTGGTGAACAGGCCATTACTGTTTTGTTCAGTAACAGAGAATGATGCAAGACTTGTGCCTATAGATGCCAATCACACTGAACATTTAAAATGCCACTACTAATAAACGTAATTCCCTTTTTTATTGTAAGTGATAGGCTAAGGGGCGGGACATCTCTAAGCGGTAGACCAATCACAACAGAGCAGGCCAGCTAACCTGCATTCACACAAAGGCAGTTTGGCATAAAGAGGGATGTAGACAGAACACATACAAAGTGTTTAAATATGCATTTCAGTTAGGCTTTAATTATCAGTTGGAATATGTATAAGGTGTTTGTCATACCCATACAGTTTGGTATCATCAAGATTTATCTTAAAAGCCCCGAGCCTGTTTTTCAGGTTTCAGGCTCGAAAATGACATTCCCAGAACAAATGACCATATCTTCCCTTCTAAAAGGGTTAAATTAATAATCTTTTTTCTCAAAGCAAGATTACACCTGTGAGTTGGATGTAGAAGTGTCCGAATCAATATAGATGTTTTTATTTTAAAGTAAATTCAGATTGAACACAGTAAAAAAATGTAAATGATTGTGTCCGTCCAAAAAAAAAAGATTACTTATAGTGAAAACCACCCGTGAATGATGGGATAGTAGACTAAAAGCTTTAGGAATCCAAACTACAACATATAATAAGTACCCTGTATCAAGATTGATGCAAAACAAGTGAAATTTGATCTTTTTAGAGAGATTTAGCAAAAAAAATCCACTTCTGGGGTCATTTGGGTGGATTTGACCTATCTCTGGCCCCCCTTGCTCGATTTTGCTGATTGACATCTCTTTCTAACCGTCAGAGCCAATGGAATCGAGGGGAACTCCCACATACTCCTTATTTGGTAATGTGTGTGTGTGTGTGAGACTGCCGCATAGCCAAGACTGGAAGCTGCGATAACTCTGGTGGCTACCATTAGCAGCTAACTTTTACTCTCCAATTTTTACATAAAAATTGAATTATGGATTATAAATTAAAAAAAGTATTACCCAGAAACATTATCAACCTATGGATTAACCGATTGAGCCGCGTTTTTTCTCGTTTTAATGCCATTGAACACGTCTTTTGATCAGATTGACAGCTACGGTGAGACGATCTCCCGTAAAAGCTCCGTAAAGGTACGTGTTGTGATGTCTGTGTTTGCTTCCCCTGTCGCAAGTTCGGATCACTCAGTGATGATACTATATACCTAAATAATCTGTGGAACCTCAGCTTTAATCGGATATCCTGTATGTGCAGCTACGATAAGTAATAAGGGTATCTTTTATCTTGAGTTCTGTGCCAAAGTGCGTTAGCATTTTTCGCTCAGGGGTCATTTAGATGCTTCTTATGAGACTTGTGTTTTGTTTTGGTAAAAATGGTTTGTATCGTCAGTTAGCTGAGATTATTCCAGTTAATCTGGTATAACACATTAATAGGTTCTTAAATATTAAGATCCCCTGAGACACAGTGTTGTAAAAAAAAAAAGTCCGCCGGGGACATTGGGGCTTAACAGGAAAAATGGGGTAGGTAATTTTGGAGAAACCAGCTCGAGTGCGCTAGAATTTGAAAATACACAGCCTGAAAAAATCTGCCACTTCCTTACAGAGCCCCTCCTCCAACACACACGAACGCGCACATGACCAATGAGGGCACGAGATAAGTTTGTGCACAGATGGAAGGCTGACAGGCAGGAGATCCTGTAGGTAAAAGACTTTCTCATCCAAGAATCCCTTCACTTGTTATTATGAGTACACTTCAGGGTGAGTGCTCTCTGACGTGTTAGCCGTTACCCTCTGATGGGAACTATACAGCAGGTCGGCCATGATGGAAAAACCACCTCTGTGGGGTTTGTATGTTCATTCGCTGAGTGGAAACACTGCACAATTCAAGGAAGCTCCATCTCTGAGAAGCCCTATTGTCTTAAATGGCAGCTGGCCCAATTCTGTGCTGCTATTTCCCCCAACTGTGAAGCACAACTCCCCAAACATGAGGTGACCTAATCGCCCGACCAGCTCCAGGATCATAACCTCCTTTAAAGGTCCCCTATGATACTGTTTTTCATCAATATATTATAGCTCTCAGATATATACAGAGCCTGTCTCTGATTGGCTGAAACACCAAACAGATCATTGCAGCATTACCCATAATCCCCTCTGTTTCAGCCCTGTTTCCAAAGTGCTGATTCTCTGTCGGGGGGGGGGGTTTACCTTGGTTGCTGATTGGCTAATGGTTACACAAGACAAACAATCGTTATGACATCATAAAGTGGCTAAAATCTGATCAGCTCATTTTCAGACAGGTTTTTATAGAAATGGATCAAAAAGAGAGAGAATCTTTGTTCCTGAAACTTTCAGAGTCTCTTTCCACAGAGGGGACACATGTTGATGTAGAAGAGACATGAAGAAGAGGGGACACATGTTGATGTAGAAGAGACATGAAGAAGAGGGGACACATGTTGATGTAGAAGAGACATGAAGAAGAGGGGACACATGTTGACGTAGAAGAGACATGAAGAAGAGGGGACACATGTTGATGTAGAAGAGACATGAAGAAGAGGGGAAACATGTTGATGTAGAAGAGACATGAAGAAGAGGGGACACATGTTGATGTAGAAGAGACATGGAGAAGAGGGGACACATGTTGATGAAGAAGAGACATGAAGAAGAGGGGACACATGTTGACGTAGAAGAGACATGAAGAAGAGGGGACACATGTTGATGTAGAAGAGACATGAAGAAGAGGGGAAACATGTTGATGTAGAAGAGACATGAAGAAGAGGGGACACATGTTGATGTAGAAGAGACATGGAGAAGAGGGGACACATGTTGATGAAGAAGAGACATGAAGAAGAGGGGACACATGTTGATGT